ATGTATGCAAAAGAAAGTTTTGATCGTTTTGGCGATGATTTGTGTGAACTTCTATTGTCTTATCTCTCAATCAATCAAACTCATAAACTATTTAGTGAAATATTTATTACAATCGCAAAATCTCTCTTCAATGGTCTCCAGTCGTGGACTTTTGGCCAACAATTCAATCAAATGATTGTCATTTAATTCATGCTTAAGTAATCTATTGATAACAAGTCTTTTAAGCGCTGGTAGTCTTGAGATGTGATCCAAACACTGGCAGTCAATCCATGGATTATTTATACCAATGAACTCCAAGTGATAAAGTCGTGGTAAATGCCGGCCGATGTCCGCCAAGTGTTTGGTTTGCATTTTATATAACTCTAACGTTAAGTGCGTTAACCGTCGGCAGTGTCTTAAGGCGGACATCAGTTGCCAATCAATAAACTCTGCATTTTGTTTGTTATATAACGCTATGTAAATCTTCAATCTCTTTAGTGTCCGGAAGTGTTTCAATGATTGCAATGTCTGGACATTAATATCATTGTCATTGGATCCGAATTTAAGATCAAATCTCTTCAATTGCTGGCATTTTGAGCCAATTTTGGCCAAATGGTCGGCGAATGAAAAAACATAGTTAGCATTAAAATGTAGACCCAATTGCCGTATTTCAGACAATTTGGTCAACGGTTCCAACACTTCCGCAATCGTTGTCTTTTGCGGGATTTCTACATTAAATATTACAAACAGGTATTTAAGGCGCAAATTGTTGGCCAAAATCGGTGCCAAGAGTTTCAACTCATCGAATATAAAACATCGGAAATACTGTAAATTTCTGGCCATTAGATCACCCGAATTGGCGCCGAAGACTCTTCGTAATGAAGTGGTCTTTAGACGAGACAATCGGTGGCAATGAATGAGATTCTCGTTGCTATTCTCAACGGATGTAATCTTCGGGCCAAACAGTCGGACACACGTATTATCTATGGATTGTGTGTGTATTTCACGCAAATTATGGCAATTGTCGTGAAATATTTGCAACAATTTATCGTAATTCTTGTCACATAATCTCCGGCCAAAGCCCTCGAAGAATATTGTCTCAATGTTTGAACACTTTTGCAACAGTTTTATCAAATTTGCAAAATTTCTATCGAGATTAAAATAAAAATCCGTCTCTTTTGTGAAATCATTGGCAATCAATTTGTTCGGGAATTTCATATACGTTATGCTTAAGTATATATTCCTCTGGAACTGTTTGGACAGACATTCGTAACGGAATCGGTCTTCGAGTGAGAGATAAGACAATAGAAGTTCACACAAATCATCGCCAAAACGATCAAAACTTTCTTTTGCATACATTTTAGACATTTTTAACAAACTTTTAATTTAATTGTATTAAAACCAAATTTATCACTAATTTATAGCTAAAATTGTTGAAACTTAAAGTGTTTATAAATTTGTTTGAAACACTTGTGACTCGGAATGCAATGAATCTGTTATTTATATATCATTTCAAATGTGTTTTCAATATTTAAATCCTTTAATCCGTTCGTTATTTACATTTCTTGAGCCGATTTTCAAACTAATATATTCTTAAAAAATTTATAAATTATAAATCAACAAAACATATTGTTTTTATCATTTCCTGGTTTTTCTACAGAGAAATAATTTAAAAATAATGTAATACTAGAGTCAGCTATAAATTAATTATAATATTTTAAATTATAATAATATTAATAATATAGAACTTAGGATAATTAGGCAATTAATTATTAATACGATTATTATAATTAAAATAATTTTTGTCAGTCATATGTAAACAAGAAGTTTTCCATTAAATATAAATAATCTTTAATATAATAATTGTTTTTATTTAAATTCGTTATTCTTTGAAAAACATATAATAAGACTATTTGTTTTACATATAAAAATAAAACATTAAGATTTAAAACTTTTCTGTTTATTATCGACAAATAAAACATCAAAAGTGATTAGAAGTAAAATAAAATTCTCTAAAATAACTGAATATTGCAATCAATAATTCAAAAACAATTGTGTTTTCAAACAAACAATATATTCAAACAGTTTTATGTATAAAACATAATCTCCGGAATCTGGCCGTCCTCTACAGTCGTGCCGTTATTACAACCGGCGGCGCAACTGAACTCAAATACCACTTTACCCACAGAACGGGACAAATCAAACACCACTTTACGGCTCCCATTAGTGCCGTAGTGGGAGTCCGAGCCCTTAAGTGTGGCGCACGCCGTGTAGTTAGTGTTGGCGTCGATCCCCACCGGCGTATTGAACATCACGCGGAATGTAGCGGCCGTTCCGTCGCAGCTGAACGTAGTGTCGTCGGTGGCCAACCGTTGGCCAGAGTCCGTGCGTATGATCTGAATGGTCACCTCGTAATCGGACGGCCCGTGAATCGAGCCGTAGAGACCGAAACCGGTCACAAAGATTGGTCGGTCGACTGTAAACCCGATTCTATCGCTGGTTCCGCTGTAACCCCACTGGCGTTCTGTCCCCTGAAAGCGGGAAATCACCCGTTCTTTGCCTGCAATACAACAGCGAGTGATGTCTGCAAAGGGAACCGTTGGCTTCGGGTTGACTGCGAACAATAGGAACAACTCTTCGACAGTCATCAGCGATAATGATGAGTGAAATGTCTTGTCCTCGCAATTAATTGTCCGCACGTTTAGCAACTTCTTAGCGATTGTTTGATAATTTAATTTATAATTTATCTCTCGATTAATTAAAATGCCAAACAGTTTACTATTGATTGTAAACGTGGTAATTGTGGTGAAGACTGTTCTCTGGAACTGTTTGGACACACATTCGCAACGGAATCGGTCTTCGAGTGAGAGATAAGACAATAGAAGTTCACACAAATCATCGCCGAAACGATCAAAACTTTCTTTTGCGTATATTTTAGACATTTTTAACAAACTTTTAATTAAATTGTTTTAAAACCAAAGTTGGTAATTTATAGCAAATATTGTTTTGAAGTGATTTTAAATTTGTTTGAAACACTTGTGACTCGGAATGCAATGAATCTGTTATTTATATATCATTTCAAATGTGTTTTCAATATTTAAATCCTTTAATCCGTTTATTATTTGCATTTCTTGAGCCTTATTTCAAACCAGTATATTGTTTATAAACCAACAAAAATAAGTTTTTATTATTTCCTGGTTTGTTTTCTAATCAGACAAATAATTTTACAATACTTTAATACTAGAGTCAGCTTTAAATTCTTATGGCGTGGTCTTGTGATGCAAGATGGCCGATAAGAATAAATGTTGTGCCGACTCTTATACGGTGCGCTGTCTGGTCGATGGCGCCGTTAGAGAGGCAGTGCTGTCGTGGAGAGGGATGAAGGAGTGGATGCTCTCTGACAGACGTGGGTCACTGTCCAGAGAGTGATCACATAAGCGGCGGTCAGAGCCCGTGGTGTGCGACGTGTGATGAGTTCTGGTATGAAAGCGGATACTTTCCTATGGGAAACCCACCAAAACCTATGCAAATAGTGTTACGGCAGTTATGCGGTAAAAGCGGACACAATTTGGTAGCTTTTACGGAAGCAGAGGATTTGTCTTAGCTTTTCCGAAAGCAGATACAAATGTCCAGCTTTTACGAAAGCAGTGATTTTGTCGTAGCTTTTGATTGTATTTAAATTACTTTATTTAGCACAAAATAAAGTATAAGAACTGGTAATACAATTAAGACAATTGAGTAAAATATGGTTAAAATGCTGGTCGAGATACGACCGGTTAGCACATGTAGAGAACAATGGATAATGGCTGACACTCTGATTGAGTGGAGTCTGTAATAAGAACTGGTAATACAATTAAGACAATTGAGTAAAATATGGTTAAAATGCTGGTCGAGATACGACCGGTTAGCACATGTAGAGAACAATGGATAATGGCTGACACTCTGATCGAGTGGAGTCTGTGTTGCGACCGAACAGTGCGACAAACAGAGAGAGACTGAGG